ATAAACTCTCTCAACTATTTTTATTTTTAAAAAATAAAAATAAAAAACCTGGGGGGTGGGAAAGGGTGGAAGAAAACCCAAATGTTCCAACCTAGAATATGAGATTGTCGCTGGTTTGACTTGCATGTTTGAAATAACTGAGTATAGACCACTCTAATCTGAAGAATAACAGTAATGATAACAAATCCCTTCCATGATTAGCCTAGTAATTGTTCCTTGTAGGCTCTCTCTAGCTAGTTCTCTCTCCTAGTACTTGTTCAGGCTCTCGAAATTTTCCTTTTATTAGTTTCTTAAACAATTTGCCTTCCATCATTAACCCACTCTATAGTAATTCATCACTAGTCACTACACATGGAGAAACATTGCTGTTAAATTTCAACTAGACCAGTAGTTCTCAAACTTGAGCTTGCATCAGCATCACTTGGAATGCTTGTTAAAACAGACTGCTGCATCCCACCCCCACAGTTCCTGATTCATGACTAATGCCATACGTGATTCAAAAAGAACATAAAGCTTGTAACTCAAAGGAGATCAGCTTGCGGGGGGGGGGGGGGGAGTTCAAGAGGAATAAACTACACCAAACACTGCAATGGCTTCAACACACACACACACACAAAATCCCCCCCTAACCCAGTTAACCAATCTAAATTTATCTTGATATGCCCACTTGACTTCAATTTCATTGAAACAAGGAGGACCTCCAATTCACTGAGGCTTTTTTAAAAGGATATTAGAAAAATTAAGCATTAATGTAAAAAAGACCAATCTAGTGGTTCAACATTCCTGTTTAACGTTCCAGATATAAAAAAGGGGGGGGGGGGAGCAGACAAAAACTGAAGGTTCTATGATGCAAAAATTAACTTGCCAGTTAGGAAAAGCAGTGGGTAGAACTGATTCTTGAACCAATACACAATACACTGGACTATACTGCCTCTAATTTATGCATGAAACTTCAGCTTAGAAGTACCTCAAATATTTTAAATAAAAAATGGGCAAAATATTAAAGATTTTATATCAACAGCCAACAGAAAATTTGTTGTCTTTTAAAGGTTATTAAGAATAATAATTCTTCTAATAGCAAGAAGCCCACCCACTTCTCTTTTGTTTCCTCTCTGATCAACATCCAACAGTTGTTCCATGTGCCTCTTCCTCAGCATATCCTTTATATGTGGTATTCCTAAGGGTTACTTGCCCGTCTTACTCATTCTCCCTGAGTGAGTCAAAATCATGACACTGGGTGAACTATGAACATTCCAGTCGTTCAGAACTATCACTGGACTGGCTAAAAATATAAGATGCTTAGGCTCCAATTCAGACTTGACTAATGGATAACAATCTCTGGGAACTGAGCCCAAGAATCTCTATGTTCCCCACCTCTATATGCTTCTTAGGCAAGAACCATGTCCTCTACAGTGACCAGCACACACACAAGGCACAATCAACATTTGCCAAAGAATGCTGTGGAAACAAAAAACAGCAAATTTAAACATCCTTGAATTCCAGAGTTACGTAGTGTTAGTTTAATAAATTACTTAGATATTTAGACAACTACATTAGATAACCATTGTAATACTATTAACCATTTTAATATTAACAATGCTAGTTAAATATAGCTGGGTAAATAAAGGACTTTAAGCACTTCTCTACCCTTAAGATATGTTACAGAAAACCCCTGATCTTAAAGTTCAAAAGGTAAGTAGCCACAAAGTTTAAATACAAGAAGATCAAATTAAACAAAGAAAAGTTAGAGAGCCAGAAAACCAAGGGCTTTCTACAAGAAAAAGTGTTAACTTGATTGAAGACTAGAACAAACCAGCAGGTATCTACAAATAACAGTATTAATCTGTTGTTGCCCAGAAAAAGTAATCAAATTCCCCCAGGGAAGAATCAATTAACTTGGCAAACTTTTTTACATTCAATCTTTTTCTCTTGCACATTTATTTTCAAATTCACTAACATACGTGATTCATATTGAAAAGCAGTTACCAGGAAGAAGGGGATTTAAATTTTTTAGAATTAACAGCAAGCTCCCCAATGTGAACTAAGTTAATAAAACAACGATTTTTAACTTACTTAGAACTTACTATATATTAAACCAACATTAGATTTAATTGAAAAACCTGTATGACTCATGTTTAAATGCTCTATGAATATACATTGGCCTCATTAATCAATAAACAGATAAATATCCCAAAAGGGGGTAAAATGAGCGAAAGCAAAGAGCAATTTACAAAAGAAATACCAATGCCCAAAAACTTTAAAAATTCAACCTAATTAGTTTAAAAAAAATTTTTTTTAAATGATGACCAATCAAGGATCATGGAGGGAAAACTAGTATAACCTTGCTGAAAGCAATGTGCTAATATTTATCAAATGGTTGAAAATAAGCAAATGTTTGGCTCAGCAATTTATCCTATCAAAATAAAACATCCAGACATTTATCTGTAAGAATATTCCTAGTGAGGTTTATAAAAGATGAAAACTAGACAATAAAAAGGAAGACCAATAATAGACTGACTAAATTAGTTTAGATCTGTAATTGTGTAAGCACTTGAAAAATAGTTACTTATTGATAGGAGAAAGCTGTTGACCTTCCCTCTGTTTTTGCAACCTGCTTTTTTTCTACTGAAAACATAAAAAGAACGTAGTTTTATTCTGTAATTATTATTTTTTTAAATGTATAGCTCATCCATGTGTAACATGTATACACATGTAATACATGTATACATGTATACATCCATGTATAACATATATAGCTCATTCCAGATATATAGATCTGGAACAATTATTACAGTTCAGATTCTGGTGTATTTCCCTCAGCAGCAAGCAAAATAATTATTTTATCTCTTTTTTTCCTCACCTCATCAGTTTTCTTCTTACAGTGTAATGTGTTACCTGTAAAACTTAAGTTTAAATCTACTAACATAAATAATCTATAACATAACCAAACCCTAGTTTACTGCATCATTTGCCCAGTGTATACCATTTCGAGAAAGAAGATCTGGGGTAAATCTTATCCTTTGATCTACTGATACTTTTAAATATGAACTTTTAACAAAGGAAAGATACTCATTTCAGCAGTCCTACTTAAGAGCACCCTTAACAAGTAGTAAACTAGGAAAAAAAGGGTTGTTTCAAAAATTCAGCATGAAAACATGGTTAAAGCAGGACACCTAAAAAAAATTCTCTAGTATTTTGTAGTTCTTAGTTCAGTTTATCCATGTTTACTCCTCTTCCTCTAAACTAACAAAGAAAAAATGATGTCACGTGCATTAGCTACATCTCTGTTCCAGAAGTGACATAAAGAATTTGTAGGGTTTGGCCTCAGTGATTGAGGACACACCTAAGCTGAAAAGGCTGAATGAGATTTAACTACGTGAAAACATACTACAAGAAGTTAAATAATGAACATCCATGAATTTTAAAAGGTAACTAAAAATGCGAATAAGCCACGTGATAGGTCTGAAAACATCAGATTCAATATAGATTTACTATATACTTTATGTAGTAAATAAATGAAAAGGGAATTCAAGGTTTCACTGTAAACTCAACTTTCCTCAAAAAAAAAAAAAATTTCTCCATTTAGTGACCTAAGAACCTAAGTGTTGTATCTGCAGATCAGAAAGAGCTATAAAACTTATCTTCCTTCTACAACCCTTCAATTTCCTCTTCAGACTACATTATCTATACGAAAGTTTGAGAGTTCCCCTGTTTAGTAATAGCACTAAGTGTCACAGTTTTTCTTTTTTTTTACCATTATTTAAAACACTGTCTTCAAACAGGCCTAAATAGATGGCTTCATTTTCAAAAGAAAGTGTCTTTTTTACTAAATACTGTAAAAAAATTATTAATAAAAAGAATCTATTAATCATGCAAGCTCAACAAGCACGCAGTGACATACTGCTTATTTACCAGTGAACATTAGTCAACCAATTTTAAGAGGGAAAAAAAAAAATCACATACAAGAAGGCAAGAGTAACCTGCTGCTCACCTATACTGTTTTCTTCCATGAAACTACTGTTTTCTAAGAGTTATACTGAATCAAGACTCCATTTTTATTCCGCAGTCGTATCCCTGACCCCCTCATTTGTTCTATCTATATAGACTGAAACTTTTCATTTTCTAAAGCTCAAAACGCAAAATATGACCCACAAGAAGATTAGATGAGATGCGGTTATCAATTTAAACCGAGTCCTACCTACCGACAATGAAATACAAATTATCAGAGAAAGGAGTCCAGAAGCAGAAAGTCTCTAACTTGCTAACTCACAATAAGACTCTTGTTCAATATTACACAATAACACTGCGCTTTGCTGTTGTTTGAGCTGCAAAGGCTGGGTATGCAAGTTGCAGCAACTATGCCAACAGCTTCAAGTATGCTACAACTGAGAAGAGTAGCAGTTAGAACCCAAACGAACAGCAAACATTTAGAAAGATACAAGCAGAAGCCTCACCATTAGAAAAGAAGATCCATCAGCACCTCTTCCAAGTAATAGTTCCCTTCCCCCACTTTAAGTAGGCACTTAAGACTGCCAAGCAGATCCATTTCTTTATTAACCGGTGCCCACTTGGGGCAACTGTACACCAAGCAAGCCCTTAGGCCTACTCTAACCCCTTCCAAAAGTGCTCAAGTGAGACTGAAAGCCGGGGAAGCCGTCTTAGGAGCCCAGATTTTCACCTCCCATCCCGCCCCGCCCCTGTAAGCTCTCCTGAGGCCAGAGGAAGGACACCGGGCCCAGGGACCCGCAGCAACTGCCCGCAAGAGAAGTCTGAGGCGGCCGGAGGCCTCCGCCATAGCAGGACCTGGAAAGCACCGCCCCTAGCGCACCTCCCCACACCCGGCGAATGTCTGCTCTATCCCCGGCAGAAGAGAAGACAGGGCCGGGAGGCACCAGGCTAGGCTGCGCACCAGGCCCTGGCCTGCCGCTCGGGGCCGCGCGGACCGCCCGAATCCGCTCCCGGGTCCGGCTCGGTCAAGCTGGCGCGGGGGCCACACTCACCTGGATGACCTCGTTGACCTCCCGGATACATTCCACCATGTGTTGCAGAATCTGCTCGGCCGTGAGCACCTCGTAGCGGTAATCCTCCTCCTGCTCATGCCCCGGCCCGCCGCCGCCGCCACCGCCGCCGCCGCCACCTCCGGGCCCCAGAGCGCTGCCGCCGCCGCCGCCCGTCTCCCCGCACAGCAGTCCGTCCCGCTCCCCGCCGACGCCCAGCCCCGGCTCCACCAGCTCCACCTCGCCCAGATCCAGGTTATCATCGTCCGGCTCATCGTCGTCCTCGTCCTCCTCCTCCTCGGCGCCGCTGTCCTCCTCGCTGCACTCTTCGTCCTCGTCGAACTCGTAGTTGTAGCCTTCGTCCGAGTCCATGGCGCGACGCGCAGAGGCCCGGCGGACGCTGGCCCTGAGGCGGGGAGAGGGCGGGGACGCCGAGGCCCCGGCTCTCGCTCCGGCTCCGGCTGATGTCCGGACGCAGGCCTGGCTCCGGCCCCGCGGGCCGCGGCTCCTCCCCGGGCGCGGCGGTTGGCGGTTGGCGGCTAGCGGCGGCGGGGAGGGCGCGGAGGAGGGAGGGAGGGAGGGAGCGAGGGGGCCGCTTGCCGCCCGCCTCAGTCAGACGCGGCTCCGCTCAGGCCTCCGAGAGAAAACAGTCCCCAGCGCCACCTCCACGGCCGCTGCTACCGCTACTGAGCCAACAAAGGGGCGTGCGTCACCGCGTCGCGCTGCGTCGGCGCGTCACTGCTCTTGACGTCATCTCGCCCCGCCCCGCCGCCCCTGCGTGGAGTTCGGGGAGACCCCACGGCCTCGGTGTGTCCTGGGAGCGCGGCGCCACGGGAGTCGCAGGCTGGGTTCCGGCTGCGGTCGCTGTTTGGAGCCTCAGCAGCGAACAGAGTACTGGAGGAGCTTGTGGCCATTGGACGCCGAGAGCGAGAGGGGGCCTGGTCCGCCCAGGTGGTGGATTTTTCCTCAGGCCATGAAGATCCAGCCCCCCGCGCAATCCTTTGGGGAAGGCGGCCTTCCCCCAGGGCCAGAGAGACCCTTCCCGCCGGCCCGGGAGTGATTCCAGGAATACCTCGGCTGTTGAGCTACTGTTTCTCTAGCCTGGGCTACTCAGTGGATTCTGTTTTATGCAGAACCTCTAACCTGTGTTGCTGGTGAACCCCGTTTTAAGTAATTAGGTTGTGTACTCCGGACGTGCTGTGATTTTTAAGTCGCCTACAGTGACGTCATTTAAAAGAAGCGTTTCCTGAACTCAAGCACTTTATTCAAGGCACTAAACTGTTAGTCATGGCTTCCCTTAATTGAGTACTGTGTAAGATCTTTACATACATATTTCTTATCTTCATGGAGCCACAGTACCCACTTTATACCTGAGGCTGAAAGTGAAAGAGACTTGAGGAAGGCCACGGAACACTTGTCCTATGTTTTAGCACCTAGGTGACCTTAAATAGCAATCATAAAAATAATTTAAAATGCATAATATGTATTATATGCTGCATTATATATCAAATGGGCTGTAAGATAATACAATGCAGACAATAATAGAAATATATACAGGGACCAAATAAAGCAGAGAGATAATGCCTGTCTCCTATCTGGAAATGTGTGAGCTGAGTGTTAGTAGATGGCCAGGAGTTTAACAGAGAAGATAGGGAAGATGATCTAGCCTGAGAAAATAACAAAAGCGAAAGCACAGTAGGGGTAAAATAGTTTAGTTCAGGGAGCTTAAAATGCAAGGAGGGTAAATGACAAAATATCAAGCAAGTTGTGAACAGGAGAGGAAGAGTATTTTATACCATTCTAGTAGACATAAATCTTTGTAAATAGAACAGAAAAGCCAGAGAAATACTCTGAAGGAAGAAGAGGCATGAGAAAACTTCCTCTTGGGATAACTTGGATTGGCCAGATTGGAAAGTTTTTAAAGTTTGAATCCCTAATTTACTGATAAATCTTACCTTTCAACATACAGTTTCCCTTTGGAATCTGATTTTGAAAAGTGAAAAATACCTTTATAATGGAAATAAGCCTTATTAATTTGTCCATTTTGTAAAGTTTTTAATAAGATTTCCTAAAATAAGCCAAGGATTTGCAAATTAAAACTTAATATTTTGTGTCTTGGTCCTTTCTTGTTTTTATTTTAGCAGCTCTAGGTAGTTGCCACACCTGGAGCAACCTAAATATACTAGCAACCCTTCTCTCCACCCCATCCCTCCTCTTAACACACCTACAGAGAAAATTCGGCAAGGCTTGACAGTACCCTAAACTCCTTTATGTCATCTTTCTTTTCATCCACTCCTATCTTGACTGAACCCTACCATCCATATCCTCCCCTTTGATATGGAGCAGCTGACCACTACTGGAGAAATTTGCATGATCACATGCATTCTGTTATTAAATTCCAATCAGCTACCACACCTGATGCCTCAACACCACCCAGCAGCCCTGTTAAATTTTTCTAAATTGTTCTGCCACTCTAGGCAACTCTGAAATCTTCACCAGTTTTTTTCAAATCCCCAACCCTGCCCTTCCAAATCTGCTCAAAGTACATGACTTTGCATCACAGAAATTTGAAATCATAAGGACCTTTGTGACTGAAGCATACTGAGCAAAAATCGAGTGTTAAAGGATGAAGTCAGAGAAGACAAATCAAGGTGGAGGGCCAGTAGGACCTTGTAGGCCATCTTAAGAGGTTTAATTATTACAATGGAAATCATTAAAGGATTTTAAACAGAAGAATGAAACAATATGCTCTTTTTTTTAATATGCTCTTTTTAAAAAAAATAATGGTGCTTTTTGGAGAATAGACTATGAAATCAGAGACCAATTAGGTGGCTCTTTTTAAAAAAAATAATGGTGCTTTTTGGAGAATAGACTATGAAATCAGAGACCAATTAGGTGGTTATCTCAGAAGTCAAGGTGAATAATGGTAACAGCTTAGGCTAGAGTTGTGACAGTGGGGCTGATAAGTGGTCAGAGTCATGTGTAATTTGAAAGTGGAGCCAACAGATTTGCTGATGGCCTGACTGTGAGGTTTATAAAGGATGAAGATGCCTCCTAAATTTGGGGTTTGAGCAACTGGGTGAATGATGTTTCCTGAAACGAGTTAAAAATGAGTTGCTTGTTAGATATTGAGGTAGAGATACTGAGAAGGCAGTTCCACATGCTAATATACAAGACTGAAGGTCAAGAGAAGGTAGAGCTAGATAGAATTTCACCAGTGTTTATGTCAACAATGTTGAGAAGCAGCACAGGAAGGAATAGAGCAGAATTTACCTCTGCCCCTCCAGTTGCTGTCTGTAACTTTGAACAAATTACTGAAACTCTCTGAGCTTCACTTTCAAGTGAAGTTAGTCACTCAGTCCTGTCCTACTCTCTGATCCCATGGTCTGTAGCCTGCCAAGCTCCTCTGTCCGTGGAATTTTCCAGGCGAGAATACTGGAGTGGGTTGCCGTTTCCTTTTCCAGGGATATTCCCGACCCAGGGATTGAACCCAGGTCCTCCACATTGTAGGCAGTCTTTACCATCTGAACCTCCAGGGAAACCCAAGCTTCACTTTGGAGGATAATTCCCTATTCTCATAGAATTATTTATGAGTATCAAATGGAATAATATATTTAAAACACTTGACACAGTGCCTGGCACATAGTTATATGTTCACAAAATTAGAACTTTAAAAAGTGTCATAAGTCACCTTGCATCTTTCGGGGGAAAAAACTATAAATTGGATTTATAACCTTGTAGTTGAATTTATTTTGATTTTACATGTATGTATATGGCCTATGTCATCCTTATTTTCCAGGGAAGAAAATTGGCATGCCTTTTTCTCAGAAACTGTTTCCACAGTTTGATTACTCCTTTTTGGTCAAAATCATAGTGCTTCTGAACTTTGGGGTCTCCTATTCACAGGTATAATGAGATTTTCAGCAATACTCCATTGATATTTTTAAAAGTATCTTAGAGTCAGATTATTGTATGGTGCTATTAAAGGAAACCAGTATAACAACTTCTCTCTGGCCCCAAATTGGCCAAGGGATGACCCACATACAATGATTTTTTAAGTGACTTGATCTTAAAGGTATTGCCTGTGTCATTGCTTCCTCAGGTATGGTGATTACTGGGTAGAAGTACAAAAGTCTGTAAACAAGAGGTTAAAACAAGTTGCTTGAAAAAAATAGGCACGTTAATATTTCCTTGGTGCCAAAAGAATAATTGTTTTATAATTAGGTATTCACATTGTCCCCATGTCTTTTTTTTTTTTTAGTATATATTTATTAAATACCTACTCATGGTGTAAAACTCCATAAATATTTATATGCATACCAAATAGTTATGAACTAAATTCCAGCAGGAAAAATATGCAAGTGCTTTTCAGATAAATAGAAATTAAAATAGCACTGGACTTTTTCAAAGGTCAGATAATAGAGCTGTAAGCTATGGAAAAACCTCTAGCAATGGCAGGGCACTAGAGTGACCAAGTGTCCCTATTGACACAAAATGGGAGTTTCCTGGGATGTGGAATTTTCAGTGCTAAAACTGGGAAATCTCACACAAATTGGGAGGTGGTCACCTCCCCCAAAGTTCTTACATGATTTAATCAAATCACTGTTTCCAAAACTAAATGGAAATAACACTTTGTCATGCACCACTTTTTGCTTTTTTTTTTTATGTTCTGTTTCTGTGTTTTACCAGGCAGGAGGTAAGAAAATGAAATTTTAATATAAATTTAATTTAAAATTCAATTTTAGCAAAAGTGCAAAGAGATTCTAATAAGCTAATCGAATACTTCGCATTTCTTTAACACCATCTGTGTACTTTGTATTTTATTACAAGCAACAATTAAATGTTACACCATTGTTGACGGGTAGATCTTATCATACCAGTTCTATGTGGTAAATAATATAATAAGGCTTAGAGAAATTGAGCTTGTATGCCTCATTAGAAGTCTCGGAGAAATAGTGATAACCAAAAATGAAACCTGATATTTCTGACTGCAACACCCTAAGATATACTGTCTACCTTATCTTTTTCTTCTAGCACACAGAATCCTGATATTTCTGACTGCAACACCCTAAGATACACTGTCTACCTTATCTTTTTCTTCTAGCACACAGAATTAGAGATTTTATTATTGAACCAGAGATTTTATGCAAGTAATTATCTACAATGTGTGGTAAGATAATGCTGGATCTAGAAGCAGAATACATGCATGCCCTCCTACAATGAGACAAAATTTACAATGTACAAATGTCTGTGTTTCCCATGATTGCGAGACACATGTATTTGGCCTAATTGTGTACTTATTACAGCAAAAAAAAATAGCAAATGATCACCACCACCCCAGAAGTGAACATATGTTTGTCCTAATGATTTAATCATTTGATGAAAAAACTGTTTTTATAACAATTTGCAAAAGAATGGCTTCTCTGATTTACTGTATCTGTTGTGTTGCCTTGTGGATGCATTTGAATGAATGGGCAAAAAGTGAGCAAATATATTGTTGTCTACTGTATGCTAGAGTGAGGGCATGTATATTTTAAATTTACTCCTTATGATCTCATGAATTTGGGGTTCTTTTTTTTAACTGAAGCATAGTTGATTTACAACGTTATGCCAATCTCAGCTGTACAGCAAAATGATTCAGTTTTATACACATGTACATTCTTTTTTAACAATATTTTCCATATGGGTCATCCCAGGAGATTGAATATAGTTCCCTGTGTTATACAATAGACTATGGTATTTATCCATTCTAAATGAAATAGTCTGTATCTAGAAGTTGAGATTCTTAATTTTATAAGTAAGGAAAAAGACAAAAAGTAATTTGCCAAGTTTCACCAGCGCTTTCATATCCAAATTTACAGAGTCCAAGCCCTCTGTTTTTTCCACACAATTCTCAGTAGTTGTAATAAGATCTTATTCCTTTTTCTAAAATACGTCTTTGTATTTGTTGAGTAATTGCTATCAAGCCTACTTGTCC